GTTCTGTTTTCAGGTCTTTGTTGGACCAAGCCTAAGTGGCAGCATATTTGGTTTGCTTTGAATTAAAATTTAATACTGAAATAGGTTTTTGAAATTGTTATGAAAAAGCAAAGCTGGATACATAGCCGATACAAATCAATAAGCACATGCATTAAGATGTGGCTTTAGAACTTGATCTGTTCCAGATGTGAAAGCTTACTACTGACTAGGCTCTAGGTCTCACACTTAAAATTTCATATGAACTGTGGTTTTTGGCCCAGTTAATTTCAGCTCTCTCTACAGGAAATAGCTCCTTTATCAGAATTCTATCCTTTTTTTTTTTACCTCCCGAGGATAGTTTCTCTTCAGAAACTAGTTCAGTGTGATGAATATAAAAATCAGAAGCTATGTAGGCTATTCCAAGAGCTAAAAATCATTGGTCACAGCTTATATATTGGGTCTCTCGCCTAAAACAGTAAATGTTTGCTGGTTAAGTAAGGCAGTCAATGACAAATCTGGGCCTGGTCTGCAGAACAATAGAATTTTGAACTGATTCTTGTAATTTCTTTGCAAGTTTGATCCGCTGTAAAGAATGAATCTGCAAGTGACCCTGACATAGCTTTACCTGACTTCTAAGGAAAAACTGTTTGTTAATACAAACCAGATTCAAACAGTCACCTTTCCCTAGGTTATGCTGCAGTAACAGTCAATAACAATGAAACAAGTCAAAAACAACAACAAAGGATAAAACACCTGTGGTTTACAGCAATGCTTATTCTCTGTTCATGCTAACATGCTGGTTTTGGGTCAGTAGCTCAGCTGTTCTTTCCCTGTGCCATCTGTCCCTGAGACCCAGGCTCTTGGTCTCATGAGAGAGGAAAGTAAAAGATGGTTGCATCACGCAACGAATCCCAAAGCTTCTCCTTGGAAATTGGTGTATCATGTTTTGTTGGGCAAAGCAAGCCCCATGACCAAGCCTACAGTCAGTAGGAGGGATGTGTTAACTTTCTATGAGGGGTGGGGGTGGGGTGCTGAAGTTACATGACATTGAGCAGAGATGTTCAGTCCTCTTACAGAGAGAGATGTGAATAATTAGGGAAAATAATATGGTCTATCACAGTGCACAAGCACAAAGGAAAGTGGCCTTCTTGGGTGGGTTGTCGGTTGCAAATTCACAAGTCCTAGATTACTGACTATGCTGCAGTAGTATTTGGGGTCACTTTAAAGCATTTGATGAGCATGATTTGTCTCTTTCAAAGGTTGTGGTTAAGATATTGCTATGTCTGGGATCCAGAGAAAGTATAGGCTTTCAGAATTAATAAGGTTTCATTTCCACAGAGAGAGAAATCCAGCCAAAATCAATCGTACCTTCTAGGTTTAGGGCCCGTGAGTCCTGTAAGTTCCTGTTAAAACATTTGGACTGCAGCTGCCTTTCTCCTTGCTAAAATCCTTGAATTTCATTAGTGAGGCCCAGGGGAATGGCCCATTTTAGCTTGCTCTGATGCTATTTGGCTGTTTGCTCCCTTCTTGTCATCTTCTAATGGGCAAAATAGAAAAAAAGACAGTAATCTTTGCAGAAGCAAATGGAGCCCTGGAGGATTCAAAAGCAGGAAGATATCTTCCTCTGTGTTTCATGCTGTTTTCCAAGAACTATAGTATTGTCTGCATCTCTTAACAAAAATGGAAGCATCATACCACATCTTAAAATTAATGAAACAGCAAACACTTGTCAAAGACCTATTTGCAAAGTTCTATGGTATATGCTGAAGGTGATGCAGATATTTTCTCTCCCCACAGAGATTTGCTGTTTGTTTAGAGAGATATCTGGCATAATTGTAGGACAGTATGCAACATTTGTGTTACAGCTCATAGAAACGAACTGGATTGTTATAAGTCAGTGGAGAGGCATGTGATATTTAATGTCTGTGTAAGACTGTCATATGGCTATACCGTCATTTATTTAATCACCCTCCTATTATTAGACATTTGGAATATTTTCAATTCTTAATACAGAGCATATGTTGATGTGGATCCTTGTGTGTCTTTGCCTATATTTCAAATAGTTGCCTTCTGATACAGTGTTAAAAGTGGAGTTACTAGGTCCAAAACTATGAACATTTTGAGAACTCCTGATACATCTTATCAAATTATTTCCAGTCCAGAAATTTATACTTCCACCAGTTACAATTGGGAGACATTGTTTTACCACATCCTCACCAGCTTTGAGTGTCATTCTTTAAAAATCTCTTCTTTAGTGCCCTTTCCCCTTAGACCACATATCCTTTGTCTCCACTTAAAGGTTATTTCAGCTGAGAAATATTCCATAATCCCCTGTATGAGTTCAGAGTTTTTGGTTAAGTCATTAGTTCTCTGTACACTATAAAAAGTATCTCATCCTTTCACTATTCTGAAATGAAATTAGATGATATGACCTCATTATATATACATTGTATATAAAATATAAAATTATAAGATTTAGGAGAAATAAAGTAAAAAAAACCATATATATGTATTTATTTATTTCAGTATGTTAAAAGCCTGGCAGACTACACCTGAAGACAAAATGAAGTAGTAAGTTGTTTTCTCCCTGAATCCCTGTGAGTGCCACAGTACAAACACAGGCTAACATGGTCATGTAGGTTGGTGATGAATTCCTGAAATGGTGACCAACTCTTGGCAGATTTCTAGGAAGGAAAAAAAATTCTCTTGATTTACATTCTATTTGTAATCCTGGAAAATACAAGGTATATTAATACTGAACAAAAATATTTCATGTTTAATATGTAAAATCAGGATAGATTTTAAACTTAGTAACAGAACTGTGATTTACATGAATATCACACAGGACATAAGAGAATTCTTGTCATGTGTGACTATGTCTCACATTTCAGGGTATTTGGTGTCTTTGGTTCCCAGCCACTAAATGCCAAAAGTGCCCCACCACTGTTGCGGAATTAATTAGAACAGAAACAAAAAATGCCTTTACAGACTTCCAAAATGCCTAATTGTGGTATCTATTGAGAACCAGTGTATTAACTAGTAATACAGCACGCTCCACTTCACCAAATATGACACTCATGCTTTTAAAAAAATGTGCTTGTGAGCAGTGACTGTTTTTCACAGAGCTGTTACAGGACAGCCTGGCATTTACTGATGACTGCGTAAGTTAGTTGAGGGAAAGAATTAATATTTAGATTGCTAAATCTTTCAAAATAATTGTATATAACAAGAGACTATAGTTTATATTTCCATGGAATAATTCTTAATTTGGGTGAGAAATCTCTAGTGTTTGACCTTGTAAACATGTCAAGAATAACAATAACCATTCTGTGTTGTACAGCAGATCTCTAGAATTTACTTATCCAGCATAACTGAAACTTTGTACCCATTGAATTGTTACTCATGGGTCAATGAAATAGATTTACCGAGATTTCATTAAACTGTCAAGTCAGTTTTCTATTTTGAGGCCTTTTGCTACGGAATTCACACTGTTGTGTCATAGCTTTGCTTCAACAACCCCATAATCCAGGCTTAGATTTAAAGTTATTAAGAGAGGAGGTTTGTAAGTGGCAGAGGTGGGAATTGAAGCCAGATTTATATGACTCAGACTGTGCTCATGGCCTCTACCCTGTAATATATTCACTATTGATTTAAAACAGGTGGTCTTTATCATAGCACGGAAACTTTCTTGTGCTCCTAACTTTATGAGAGTTTTGCTTCTAAGAAGTAGGAATGATAACAAACTTTTTGACATCTTTGGAAATACATGATTTATCTTATTGAATCTGTTGATGAGCTTAATATAATTTGTAATTTCAGACAATCCTTGCATGTCTCTTATTCTCATATTTGATTAGGTATATAAGCTCAACAATGGAGTGAATTCATTTTTCTAAAACACAGTATTAGATTCTAGTATCTATATTAATAAATAAGATCAATCCATAGTTTTCATTTGTATTATCTATGTTGGGATTTAGTGATGGTTCTGAGAAAAATTAATTGGTAATTGTTCCATGTTTGAGGGTGCCTATAATAGATTATACTGGTTAATTGTCTGTTCTTTAAAAGTTTAGTAAACTTACTGGGTAGAGCATCTTCTGGGAGTTTTTTTGGGGGAAGTAAGTATTTGATAATATTTTCAATTTTATCTATGGCATATTGTCTATTCAGATTTTATGTTCCTTCTCCTTGAGAGAGTTTAGTATTTTATACTTTTATGGGTTTTTTTTTGAAATAACCATTTCCAATACTCAACTCGTGTAGCAGAGTCGTACATAGAATTATATTAAGCAAATTCCTCAGTATCTGTATATTTGTACCATTTCTGTCATTCTTAATTTTGTGTATTTGTGCTTATTTTCTTTATTTCAAAAGATGTTTTTTATATCCCATCGTTATTGCCAAAGATGTCTTTTATATCCCCATTTCCCAAACATCCTCTAAAAATAGTTCTTAAATGTCTTCAGCAATTCTTCCCTTTGCATTTTACTTACAATGTTTTGCTTTTATTTTTACTTGATTATTCCCTATTTTCATACTTGCTTCTAATTTTTTAACTTGATTCCTTAGATTCTGCCTGTCGTTCATCTACTTTTTTGTCTTTCAATAAGGAGAACATTTAGTCTATGGCTTCCTTTCATTACAGATTTGGTTGAAACTTGCATATTGTGATATGTTGTGTTCTCATATTTTTTTGTTTTCTAAATAGTCCAAAATTGTAAAGTTATTGCCTCTTTGACATTGTGGAAATTATTAGGAGAACATTTAAAAAATTATTGTGCCTTTGGATTTTTTTGTTTAAGATTTTGTTATCAATATTTAATGTTATTGCATTATCCTAAAAAATGAGCCACTTCAAATTTCAAATGTAATATAAATATTTAATTAATATTAGATTATAACTCACTTTGAATATGTCATTTTCTCATCTCCAAATAATGCCACCATTACAAATGTAATTTTATTAATTAGGATTTATTTTATTTTATTTGTCTGATCTATTTTATTTTTCTGTTTAGATTCTAGATGAGCAAACTTTACTTGGAAAAGTCTGTAGCAATGAGATCCACTCTCATGTTAAATCCATTACTAATAGAATCTGGATCAGGCTTATAATGGATTCTTCTGTTGTAAGAGCTAGTTTCAGAGCTATTTATCAAGTTGGTAAGAAAGCTTATACCTTAATTTTTAAATGTCTGATTTGTCTGACTATTCTGTTTAAATTTCTTGAAATAATTTAGTAATTTTATGTCTTCTAGGGGCAAGGAAAAAAAATTCTAATAATAATGTCACATTCCATTATATCCTTATGCAGAATTAGACTTTGCAATAAAATTGAGGGCAAGAATCATTTATCTCTGAACAAACATTACTATCATTTTCATATTTACAGCTTGTGGAGGTGAATTAACTGGAGAAGGGGTCATTCGCTCACCCTTCTATCCCAACGTGTATCCAGGAGAAAGGATTTGTAGGTGGACCATCTACCAGCCCCAAAGCCAAGTAGTCATTCTCAACTTCACTAGCTTTGAAATTGGAAGTTCTGCCCACTGTGGTACAGATTATATTGAGGTAAGAGTAAAACACCTTTGAATATTTGTATTTGGTTATATATTATTAAAAATACTATGTAATGTAACCCTCAAATTAGTTAACTGAAAGAAAACTATACAGACCAATATCTCTTATGAATATATATATAAAAATCCTCAACAAAATACTAGTTAGCTGAATCCAGCAGTGTATAAAGAGGATTATACACCATGATCAAGTGAGATTTATTCCAAGAATGCAAAGTTGGTATACATCCAAAAATCTGTTAATGTATAATAAAATAAAGGAAAAAACCCCACATGATCACTCTAATACATGCAGGAAAAGCATTTGACAAAATTCAACACCTTTTCATAAGTAAAAACTCTCAACAAACAAGGAATAGAAGAGAACTTCCTTAATTTGATAAAGGGCATCAATGAAAAACCCACAGCTAACATCATATTTAATGATGAAACATTAAGTGCTTTGTTCCTATGGTCAGTAAAAAGACAAAGATGTCTGTTCTTACCACTTCAAAGTTATAGTAGAAATTCTAGCTAGGGCAATTAAGCAAGGACAGGAAATAAAATGCATCCAGAAGGAAAAGAAGGAGTAAAACTATCTTGTATATAGACAACCATAAGGAACACACACACACATACACACACACACACACACACACAATTAAAACTAGAAGACTATTGGACTACAAGCCTACAAGACTAAATATTGTTAAGATGGCAATATTCCCCTAATTAAAGATTTAGTTCAATCCCTATCAAAATCCCAACTAGCACTTTTACAGAAATTCACATGCTGACTGTAACTTCATATGGAAATGCAAGGGAACCAGAATAATCAAAGCATTCCTGAAAAATAAGAACAAAGCTGGAGGGCCCAAACTTAACTAGTTTCCAAACTTAGAACAAAGCTATAGTAATCAAGACAGTGTGTTGTTCAAATAAGGATAAAAATATGTAACAGTGGCACAGAAATGAAAATACAGAAATAAATCTATACGTTTATGGCAAATTGATTTTTCAAAAGGATACCAAGACATTTCAACAGGGAAAATACACTTTTTCAACAAATGGTGCTGAATATCCACTTACAAATTATGAATCCATACCTCTTCCCTACACTATACACAAAAATTAGCTCAACCTAGGTCATAGACCTAAATGTGGGAGCTAAAATCATGAAACTCTAAGACTAAAACATAAGAGTAAGTATTTGTGACCTTGGGTTAGACAAGCCTTCTTAGGTATGACACAAAAGAGCACAAACAACAAATGAAAAAAATAGAAAAATTGAACTTCATCAGAATTAAAAACAACCTAATTTAAAAATGGGTGAAGAATATGAATATATATTTCTTCAAAAAAGACGTACAAATAGCCAATATTCACATGAAAAGATGCTTAACATCACTAAATATCAGGAAATACAAATCAAACTACAATGATACTGCTTCATATGCACTGGGATGGCTATACATAATCAAGAAGTCAGATAATAACAAGTATTGATAAGGATATGGAGAAATTGGAACCCTTTTACACTTCTACACTGCTGGTGAGCATATAAAATGGTACAGACACTTTGGAAAATATCTGACAGTTCTTCAAAAAGTTAAACGTAGTTAGCATTTGATATAATTCCACTCTTAGGTATATACCCAAGGGAAAAAAAATATGGTCTACACAGAAATTTGTGCATGAATGACTACAATCACTGTTCATAGTAGCCAAAAAGTAGGAACAACCTACATGTCCATCAACTGATGAATTGATGAATAAAATGTGGTATATTCATATAATGGAATATTATTTGGCAATAAAAAGGAATGAAGTGATGACACATGCTACACCATGGATGAGCTTTGAGAACATTATGCTAAATGAAAGAAGCCAGTCACAAAAGACCACATATTGTATTATTTCATTTATTAAAAATGTCCAGAGTAGACAATCTCTAGAGATAGAAGATTAATGGCTGCCAGAGGATGGGATTTGAGGGGAATGGAGAGTGACTGCTAATGGGTATGGAGTTTCTTTCGGGTCACTGAAATATTCTAAAATGGATTTTTACTGTATGAATAAAAACATTGCAGAAATAATTATTCTTGAAGCAGTGTTCCAAAATAATATCTAATAAAATAAATTTGAATATATCTTTTTTACTTAGATTGGTAGCAGTTCCATTATGGGTTCTTCTGAAAATAAAAAATATTGTGGGACAGATATCCCTTCATTTATAACATCTGTGTATAACTTTCTTCATGTCATATTCGTGAAAAGTTCTTCTACGGAAAATCATGGTTTCATGGCTAAATTCAGTACTGCAGATTTGGGTAAGAGAACAACTCTTCTGCTTTACGGGCTTTCTATCAGAATAATTGAACAATGGAAATAAATTTTTGCAGAAAAATTCACCTGTACTGTAGATGTGCGGTCATTTACACTGTAAAAATTTTAAAGTTTACTCAAAAGCAAAGAAAATATATAGTTTTTAATCAGCACATATCAATATTTAATTATTAATAGAAAAACTAGGTTATCTTAATGGCGTATAAGGGAATTTTTTTGAGCTTTTAAGAGGTCATGATCAAGTTATTTTGTTTTGAATTTCAGGTAGTTTGTTCGTCACTTGTTTTGATAACTTTTATTTTTATTTCAACAGCATGTGGAAAAATTCTTACTGAGTCAACAGGAATCATTCAAAGTCCTGGCCATCCAAATATCTACCCCCATGGTGTCAACTGTACCTGGCATATATTTGTCCAACCTGGCAACCTAATTCATTTGACATTCAGGAGATTTCACCTGGAGTTTCATTACAATTGTACAAATGACTACTTGGAAGTTTATGACACTGGTTCTGGGACATCTCTTGGGAGGTGAAATTATTTTGGTTTTGGTTTTTATAACACAAAAACTTGCTTTCTTGCTTTCCTGCTTCAGTAAAGATGTTAAATCTACCAGGTTGTGCTAAAAAACCAGGTGAGATCAACAGGCATCTCAATGACCACTTCTATATCACTACTCACTACTCTGTAACCTTGGCCTTCAGAAATTAAGTTTTGGTATATGTATATATCCAGGAAGGCATCACCAAGATCAAGATAATGCACATATCATTACCCCCAAAGTCTTCCTGCTGTTACAATTCCTCACTTTTGCCATTCATTCCCATCCCCAGGAAACCACTAACCTGCTTCCTATCACTGTAAATAGCTCACATGTTCTGGAGTTGTATAAAAATGGAATCATACTGTGTATTCTTTTTTTGTCTGGCTTTTCTCACTTAGCATAATTTTTATGTTGAGCTTCTTGACTCAGATGATTTATAGTTTTATTGAATTTGAAACATGTTTGGCCGTTAGTTCTTTAAATACTTTTTGTGTCTCCTGTTCCCTTTGGGAACTCTAGTTACATGTATCTTAGGCCATTTGATATTGTCCCATAACTCACTGATACTCTTTTCATTTGATTTTGAATCTTTGCTCTCTTGTGTGTTTCATCTTGGAAGTTTTTATTGCTAAGTATTCAAGTACACTAATGTTTTCTTTTGCAATGTCTATTCTGCTATTAATCTTACCAAGTGTATTTGTCATCTTAGATACTGTAGTTTCCATTTGTTCAATTTGGGCCATCATTAATTTCTTCCATGTCTTAATTTTTTTCCTCTAGCTTCTTTAATCTGTGGGATACTATTTTAATGTTTTTGTCTGCTAATTCAGTCATCTGTGTCATTCTTTGCTATGCTTTTATCAATTTTTCTTTCCATTATGGGTTATACTTTCTTCCTTCTTTTCATGCCTGATAGTATTTGTAGGATGCCAGACATTTTCAATTCTGTTCCTGTGCACTGAACATTATTGTATTCCTGTAAGTATTCTTGAGCTTTGTTTTGGGATGCAGTTAAATTACTTGGAAACAATTTGGTTATTTCCAGTTGTGCTATTAAACTCACTAGTTTCCTGTCTCTGAAGAGACATTGTCCTTCATTGCTTGATATCCAGTGTCTTGAGAGCCATTGTTTTATATATTTTTGTCCAGATTTTTAGTTGTGTCAGGTACAAAGTCACAACCAGCTCCTGTTATTACTTCTTTGTTGGAAATGGAAATCTTCTGATTTCTTTTGTATTCCTTCTTCTTGCATTTCATTTTTTTCTCATCCATTTTTTAAATATTTTCCCTGTAATCATTATTTTCTTAAACTTATTTTTCTCCTATGTTTTATTCTTCCTCTTCAGTTTTTGTCTTTACTTTCTTAATCTTTTATTTTTGAAACTTTCTTCTTTTTCTTACCTTATGGTGCTTGACTCATAATCACTACAAAATACATTAATTTTTGCCAAATGGCATGAACTGTAATAATCCTGCCCAAATTTCACAGACATGGGCCTATACAGAGACATGTAAAATATTAATTCACCTACCTTTATTTTGATCAATATATTAAATCTTTTAACACTGCAACAGTATTATACACCAATTTTTTTCTTTATCTCCATCATAAATTAACTCATCCATTCCCGGTGTTCAACATTTCATCTTATTTTGGTTTCTATACTTTTTTTTTTACTGTCATTTCATTGGGTTAATTTTACCAAGTGTACTTTATTTGAGATTTCTGTTTTCTAGTCTTCTAGACTAGACACGTCTTACAAATGTTTCCCTAGAAAAAAGCTCTTGGCAAAGTGACTTGTATTACAACTCTACTTTTAGCATTACTAGAATAGTGTTTCTGAGTGAAATTACTTTTATTCAGAAAAAACTTTATATGGGTTGGTAATCAAACTTACCTCTGCATATACCAGCTGTTTAAAAATAATGGATTTCACCTATACAGGGCTTTATATTTCAGGCTTTCCTAAGTTCTTTATATACAGTATATTAACTCATGTAATTTTCAAGGCAACTCTATGAAGTAGGTACTATCATCATCCCATTTTAGAGACAGGAAAACTGAGGCATAGAGATTGTGTGATCTGCTCAAAGTCATAATGCCTCTAAGTGGTAGAGCTGATGCTAGAATCTGTGCTCTATGGGCTTATAATATTTAGCTTCTCTTTGTTGTAAAAGCTTATTACATTTCTATTAATAGGTTCATTAATTTGCTGTATGGTGACCTAATATAGCTCATAACTTCTAACTTAATTAAATTTCTTCTACAAGTCACACACATAAAACCATTTCAGGGAAGTAATCATGAGCAGGGTGATCTTTAACAACTTTGTAAATGTTTTGTGTTATTTTTTAAGTTAATAAGGGTTATTATTAGTAGCAGTACAAGTATTATTTTACATGTCCTAATTTTTGGTCCATCACTTCGGGTGTACTAAAAGTTTTAAACGTGTGCTCTTTCTTGGTTTCAAATAGATACTGTGGAAAATCAGTCCCACCTTCTCTTACCAGCAGTGCCAACTCATTAGTGCTTATATTTGTGGCTGACTCTGACCTTGCTTATGAAGGCTTTTTAATAAACTATGAAGAAACTGACACATCAGCAGGTAACAAAACAGCATTGTATACTTGGTTTCATTTACTCCATTACAAAATGGTTGTATGAGAGCACTTCATCCCCAAATCCGTGGTACACAATGAAAGAAAGTTATGGGAAAATAGTGCAGTTACTTCAGTGCCTTCCTTATTAAAAATAGAGTAAGAATTAGACAACAGTATTGTCTAAATGTTGAATTTTTCTAATTTTGATAATTGTACAGTTGTTTTATAAAGGAATATTTTTTCTATACACTGATCTTTTCAAGGGTAAAGATACTCACTTTGCCAAATTACTCCTAACTGGTTCAAATAGTAAGCAAGTAAGCAAGTCAGAGAGAGAGAAAGAGAGAGAGTCCGACAGAGAGATAGGGAGATGAAACTTTGGGAGAAACATACAAATATGTAGAAAATCTGGGTAAAAGGAATTGGGGAGCTATTTCTTTTTTTACTGAGGTATCATTGATATAAAATCTTATATTGGTTGCAAGTATACAACACAGTGTTTCAATAGTTACCCATATCATTAAATCCTCACCCTTACTAGTACAGTTATTATCTGTCAGCATAGGAAGATGTTACAGAATCATTGACTATTTTTCATGCTGTACTGCCATCCCAGTGGCCACCTTATGTTATGATTAAGAATTTTTGTGCCTCTTTATCCTCATTACCCTTCCCACACATTCACCCCAACCCCTCCCCCACAGTAACCACCAGTTTCTTCTCAGTGTCTATGAGTCTACTGCTATTTTGTTTTATATTCCACAAATAAATGAAATCATATGGTATTTGTTTGGCTTATTTCACTTGGCATAATACCTTCTAGCTCTATCTATGTTGTCACAATGGCAGGATTTCTTTGTTATGGCTGAATAATATTCCATTATGTATGTTTACACATCTTCTTTATCCATTCATCTATTGATGAATACTGAGGTTGCTTCTATAACTTGGCTATTATAAATAATTATCTGTGAACATAGAGGTGGATATATCTTTTTGAATCAGGGATTTTGTTTTCCTTGGGGGAATTCTTAGAAGTAGAATTACTGGGTTGTTTGTTATTTCTGTTTCTAGTGTTTCGAGGAACCTCAATACTGCTTTCCGCAGTGGCTGCACCAATTTATATTCCCACCAACAGTGTGGGAGTTTTCCCATTTCTTCACATCCTTGCCAACTTTTGTAATTTCCTGTCTTTTGAATAGTGACCATTTTCAGTTGTGTAAGGGGATATCTTATTGTGGTTTTGAGTTGCATTCCCCTGATGATTACTGATATGGAGCATCTTTTGATGTGCCCATTGACCATCTGTATTTCTTTTTTGGAGAAATGTCTGTTCAGATCCTTTGTCCATTTTTCAATCAGGCTATTTGTTTTTTGGGTGTTGAGGTGTATGAGTTCTTTATGTGTTTTAGATATTAACCACTTATTGGATAAATCATTTATGAATATATTCTCTTCAGTAACTGGTGTTGGGAAAACTGGACAGCTACATGAAAGAGAATGAAACTAGTTTACTGTCTAACTCCACACACAAAAGTAAACTTGACATGGATCAAAGAAATGTAAGACATGAAACCATAAAACTCTTAGGAGAAAGCAAAGACAAAAATCTCTTGAACATAAGCATGAGCAATTTTTTCCTGGACACATCTCCTCAGGCAAGGGAAACAAAATAAAAAGTGAATAAGTGGGACTACATGAAACTAAAAAGCTTCTGTTCAGAAAAGGACACCATAAGCAGGACAAAAAGGCAACCTACAGTAAGGGAAGCTATTTCTTACAACTTTTCCATAAGCTTAAAATTCTACCAAAATAAAAAGATCCCAAAGAAACTCAATACTTAATTTAAGAAGTTAGAGAAAAGACAGTGTCAGATAAATATAAGAGACTACTAGGTGGAATTCTATTTTAGGAGATGGAAGGTTTTTTGGAAAAATACACATTTCTAAATTTGACTTGATGATATTGAAACTTTTAGCATTTATTCCTTTTATTGTATTTTTCCTATTAATAATTCTCATCATTACTCTTTAAAAATACAGCATAGAAAACAAGTACCTTTTGCAAGCTGGGTCTTTGAGGTAATTTGTAAGCCAGAGAAGACCCCAGCCCCAAAAGCCTATGGAATTGATGAGGTTGTCATGGTTCATTAGGCTCATGTTTCTACTTGGGATGTGACATTTTAGAGAGTCTGGGTTTTCCTTTTGCATCATATATAAAAAGATATTTAATGGACCAAACTACTACCAGTCTAGCTCTATATAGGCATATAGTGATGGAGCCTCCCTGGCATTCCTCAGTCTCTGGATCACCCCAGAGCGTGGTGATTCACGGATGCTCCCTTCAGAAAGCACTGGGAGCTTTTCCTGTGTCAGGATGGGCTCCCACTGGCATAGCCTAGCATCCAGAGATTCCCTAGGTGCTCATCTTTTAAAGCCCTCCCCAGAATAAATGAGTGAGCAAGTGAACAAACAAACAATACATAAAGTTTAAGAAAACCCTCCCACTCAGATCCCTACTCAATGTCTGATTTATTTCTTCTCAGAGTGGTTGGCCACTACTCTTCATTTCATGCGAAACTGCTGTTCTCTGCAGTAGTTCAAGTTCTGTG